TAGGAATAAGAGAAAACAGAATAAACAGTTAAGAAGCTCTCTCAGTGAAGGTGGGGGCGGAGCAACATGGCGGCGAGGAGACGCTGCGAGTAAGATCTCCCATTAAAAAAAGTGAATAGGGAGGAAAAGCGGCAGGTCCCAGTGAGAAGTGGGACAAGGAAGATAAACGGGTGACACCAGCGAACTGCCCGAAGAAGAAAGTGGCCATAAAAGAGGACTAGAAGGGAGGGAAGCGCAGAACCCTGCTCCCCTCCCCCGCCCACAGAGGCGGCACTCTCTGACCGGCAGAGAGGGAGAAAAACAACAAACCAAAACAACCAACAAGAACAAACGACGCAGCAAGCGGGACTGTGAGTGGAAAGGAACTATTGCAGCCACCACACCCCGTGAACGGGAGCTGAGGCGAACCCTGCAGGATCCGCCGCGGCGGTGAGGGAACGGCTCCGGGCGCCATTAGAGAAGAACAAAGACCCCGGGAGACGCGCACACAGCCCGGGCTGCCGGTAAGCTGGTGCGGAAACGCTGCGCGCTCGGGGAGCTTGAAAAGCAAGTGCAGACCTGGATCGCGGCTGCCCAGGTCCCCGCGCCTGCGACCTAGGCTTGCGGGGAGACGCACGGAGGTCCTCACTGAGGTGAAGGTCCCTCCCTGAGTGAAGCAGGAACCAGGCGCCCAGGCACGGGAGCGGTGCAAAAGGCGCCATTCCTGCGCCACTGAACTGGGCTACAGCCCGTGTCCTGGAACTGAGGGCTTTGAACTGAGACCCGGGGCACGAAAATTCGGGGCGTGGGTTCTCCACGACGGTGGGGCACAAGGCAGACACAGCACCCCAAAGCTGTTGAGGTGTACCCTACCATTCCCGCTCTGTTCCCTGTCCCACGGGGTGGGGGGAGGCGAAAAACAGCCCCCCAAGGACAATAGGAGAGATCTCTGGCGCCACCTAGCAACCAGGAAAAAAAAAAGTCACTAACACCCTATAAAACAGGACATTTCTTAAGACTGCTTGAAAAGGGCAGAAAGAAGGTTTCTGGAGGACCCAGTGGCCAGCCAGGAAGTTATTCCACGCCAGGCCCCTTCCGACCAGCAGTCTGAGCCCACAGAGGGAGCAGGCACCCACGTCCGGGGCAGACCAGGTGCGCAGAAGAGTGTGCCTGAAACCGGAGGCGCAGGGACTGCATCCCGCTTCGCCATTTGAGAACAGGGACATTTCTTCAGTAAAAACTGCCTAAAAACAGCAGAAAGCTCCCCCAGAAGACAGAGATGGCTCCTGGAAGAGCCAGAGGGGAGCGGAGAAGTTCACCCAAGATGTCAGTCAGTCCGAGCAACACAGTGTCCCAACGCATACGACAAATTAGAAAACAGGACAGTAGGGAGTAGAAGAACCAACGCAACCTAAAAATCCTCAGGAAAGAAGCACACCACAAAAAGAAAACCACTCCCCAGATTGCAACAACAGCAACTTGGAGAAGAAACTTCTGAGCCTTCCAGAAAGAGAATTAAAATTGCCATGATTAAAAAAGTGATAGATCAGAAGAAGGAATTGAGTCCCTAAAGAGGGAAGTAAGAGAAATGCAGGAGATCAAAGAATTAATGGAGGAACTAAAGAACTCTGGGAAAAGCAATGAAAGCAGAATAGATGAAATGGAAGAACGAATAAGTAATCTTGAAGACACAGAAATAAAAAGAACCAAAACAGAAAGGAAAGAGAAGTACGAAGGAAAAAGAATGAAGAAAGACTTCGGGAACTATCTGACTCCATGAGGAAAGGAAATATAAGAGTTATAGGAATTCCAGAAGGAGAGGAGAGAGATGTAGGAACAGAGAAAATATTCATGGATATAATTGAAGAGAACTTCCCAAATGAGAAGAAGGAGCTGAAAAATTGATTATACAAGAAGCAAGAAGAACACCAAACTTCCACGACGAAAGGAAAACACAGCAAGACACATAATAGTAAAGCTCCCAAGAATCCAGGACAAGGAAAAATAATGAGCTGACAAGAGGGAGAAACAGATA